CTCTAAATGTAATGCATGAAATTTTTTACACATCAAAAGTAAAAGGCTGTCGTCACGCTGCCGTGCAGGCAGCGGAGCGGCGTGGGGAACCAAGTTTGTGTAAAAATCTGAGTTCAAATCTCAGTGAGCTCAATGTAAAGGTCAGAGGTCAGCATTTCTGAAAATCATCTAGTATTTTCAAATGTATGCCATAGGTCCATCTACAAGGAGGCAGATGGGTAGAACTGGCGGTTGCCAGTAGTTTTTCTTTTAACGGCACTGTCTCAACAATAATCTGTTTTTGCAAAACACTATAAAGATAGCTTGAACAAATCATATGAAATTCTGCTAATGGATTGTTTTTGTTCTTCCACTTGTTGATTACTAAATTATCTGTAATACATCAATGAAAGTTTGAAGTGCAAGGTGTATCCCTGTATTTATTGCTTTTATATATTTATTTTTAGTATTATGTTTTATTGTCTTTAATTTATATAATTAATGTTGTGAATGGTTTTAACGTCATTCTGTGTCGTTTTGGTTTTGCTGTGTGAAGCGCTTTAAGCTGCATGTTTGTCTGAATGTTTGTGTGTAAATAAAGTGAAGTTGAGTCACTTTATGTGACGAACGCATTAACACTGAGTCACGTGTGAGATCTAGCATCAACCTAACACACGCAGAACAGATCATCTTACAAATGCAGAATTAGCTTATGATTGATGTTTTGCCTTTTTCTTTTTTTCCCCCGACTTGGCAGTAAATGGGTTATGTTAGGTTTGGGGTTTTTTTGTTTTTATTTTTTGCACTGAAAAAAGAAGGAATCTAATTACGTCACCATCTTAAAAATAATAAGCAGAAGTAGAAGTAAGAGTGTAGACTGTTATTTTTTTAGTAGCTGGCTAATTCATTGGCCAAAATTGTGTAATTATTTTGGGAGATGATTATATTCTTGAAAACCTATTGTGCATGTAGGACACATACAAAAATTCTGGATATTCTTCCTGTACAGTTGGATTATTATTAAATCAGTCTTGCATTTTAATGCCTTATTACAGTTTCTTTTATCCTTATACTGCAATGTTGTGTGGGCAGCCACTTGTCTCACCAATCTTAATAAAATTGAAAGAATTTTGAGAATAATTTGTTGTGCTAATGTTTTTTAAGACATTTTTTTGGTTTTAGTTTAATGTTCATGAGTCTGACGGTATTGAAGCTTCCTCTGAGGTATGTAAGAAATTTCTGAATTTCTTTGTGGAAAAGGTGAATAACGCCAGGGCTCAGAAAACACCACCTGTTCTTGACCCTTCAGTCCCTGTTTCTTGCTCTGCTATTTTCTACCAGTTTAAGTCTGTAACTTTCTCTTTATTCTATGAGGTTGTTAGTCATCTGAAGCCCTCAGGTTCCCCTACTGATGTTGTTCTTCTTCAATTATTTAAAGAGGTCGTTTCTACTCTTGGGCCATTCATTCTTGTTATTGTTATTACCAGTTTCTCATCTGGTATTTTTCCTAAGATTTTGAAGCATGCTACAGTTCAACCTCTGCTTTAGAAAACTAGCCTGGATCCCTCTGTTTTATCAAATTTTAGGCCTATTTCCAAGCTTCCCTTTTCTCTAAAATTCTGGAGAAAATGACATATAATCAGCTGAAAACCTTTTTAAATGAAAATAATGTCCTTGAGATTTTTCAGTCTGGTGTTAAATCTCTGCATAGCACCAAATCTGCATTGCTTACGGTTGTTAATGACGTCCTCCTGGCTACAAATGTAGGGGATCAAGTGATCTTGGTTCTCCTAGACTTAACAGCTACCTTTGACACAGTGGATCACAATATTTTACTATCATTCTTGGTACACTGTGTAGGCATTCATGGTACCGCTCTGAAGTGATTTAGGTCTTACCTGGCTGAGAGAACATTCTGTGTCAGTCTTTCAGATTTTAGATCCTCCTCAGCTCTAGTCTCATGTGGGGTACCACAGAGATCAATACTTGGACATCTGCTTTTCTCCCTTTTTTTTAGAAGGCCAAAAATTGCTTTCCATTAATATGCAGATGATACGCAGGTTTATATGCCCCTAAAAAAGACAAATGACCACTACATGCAAGCGCTAAATGACTGTCTTGAGGAAGTGAAAGCTTGGTTGGCTCTTTGGGTCAGGTGTCACTGGTGGCTTCTTTCCTGTGGACATCGGCCCTCTAGCACATCTTGTCAAAAGATGATTTCAGAACAGTAATCCATGCTAAGTAATCCATCCGACTGGATTACTGTAACTCATGGTACCTTGGTATTAGCCAGTCATCCTTGTCACGTCTTCAGCTGGTACATGTTGAAGGGAGCATATTACTCATATTTTATCCTCACTAGACTGGCTGCCTTTCCATTTTAGAGTTCATTCTAAAATTCTTGTATTTGTTTTTTCTCACTATCTCTCTGAGCTACAGCACCTGCACACCCCCTCATGGTCTCTTCGATCAGCTGAGCAGTTGTTATTGGATATGGCAAAGACGCATCAGAAGCACCGGGGGATCGGGCTTTCACAGTTGCGTCTCCCAAATTGTGGAACGCGCTGCCATTACAAATTAGAAAGGCCTCCTCAAGCGATCAAAGATCCACCTTTTCAGTTTGTCTTTTAACCCAGTATAGAAATGTTAAATTTATTTGGATGTTATTTTTGTTGTTAGTGTTCTATTTGTTTACTGTATTTTTATTTTTAGTATTTATATTTATTTTGATATTTTTTCTTATTTTATGTTCAGCACTTTGGTCAGTGCTCGCTGTTTTTAAAGTACATTATAGAGGCACTTTAAGAGGGGCAGAGGCAAGATTTAGTGCAGATGAACTCTTGTTATTTTTATTTACCAAAGTGAAAACAGGTGAATAAGTGTTACACCACAAATCCACCCCTGCATTAAAATCCACACTTCTCCGGAATACATTGCATAACATAATATTATTTTCGGTTAATATTGTCTTTTTATCTTGTAGCATCTGTCCATCACAAACGTAGCTGCCTGGAAGACCGATCCACAGCAATCAGTAAAATGCTCAGTAAATAATT